ATTTAAAAAAAAAAAAAAAGGACTTACGTTCCATTGTGTCGGTCGTATTCTCTTTTGCCCCTCAGGACAAAATGATCAAAGTTTCTTGTGTACCCTCCTCTTCCTTCTCTCCCTCCCCCTCGGCTCCGGGTGTCAGTATCTTGATCGTTTGAAGGCCTTTGACAAAATTAGGTCTTGTTGCTTCACAATAGCTCAGCGATTAAAGTAGAGTTCAAGTGTATTCAAGTTCAATACATTTGTATTCAATATTCAAGAACCATTTTTAATTTAGGTAAAATTCTTAACTTGTGCAGGATACATTTTAATTGAATCATATATTCAAGCAGAGTGTTCATGTTCAAAACGGTGTCAAGGTTGCGCACAGTTGCTGAATGATTCATGAACCTAAAAATATGGAAAACATACTTGGGGAGAGAGAATTCCTGTGGGTACACGGCGGGGTTGGCCCTACGCTCCCCATAGACAGCCAACTTTGAGCTTCTTTTTGTCTCTGCTCTGTCATCACCTTTGGCACGGGCTGGTTGCTTGCAAACTAGAAAGAGAAAGAGGTCCATTACTACAGACCGTAAAAGTAGCTTCCACTCACTAGTCGCCTTCCATCTCCTAATGTCTCTTCTTGTTAAATGTGACAAATCGTAAAAAGGCCTCGAACAACAAATTTGTCTCGCTCACCATTAGTATGTATGCAATTTTCACAGTGAGATGTAGCACGAACATGGTCAAACGGTAATGAAAACCCTCCAACAAAAAAAAAAAAAAAAGCATGGTTTAAAAAATTAACGGGACACATCAATTTTGAGGTTGAATCACCCACTTTGGACCAGTTAACTCCTTTTAGTTTTCTGTTACGGATGGGTAGTATAACCAATAGCAAATAACAGGATAAGTTTAGGCTTATTGATATCCTGCCAAAAAGTGTTGAAAGCTATGCAACATCATTTTGAGGTATTTGGGGACATACAGTTTCATCAAATTTGTGCAGTAGGGAAGAATATTGTACACTACGGTACAAGTTGTGTTGCCCAATCTTGAATGGGGCGTAAATGGAGCTAAGCCGTCGTTAAGCTAGCCGTCCGTTGCCAACAATGGTGTGGGAATGCCCGCAGGGCTGCACTGCAAAGATGGCTTAACGGCACCTTTAAATGTTCCCCATCCTTATTTCGACTCAAAATGCTTCTCTTTGCTCTTGTTACAGCCCCACACGTCTTCGCACAGGCAGTCACAGGCCATTCCATTGTAAGAATGGACAAAGTTGCTGACATTTTTGACTGCTTTTTGAAACCCTGAAAGATGTCATAGTTTGCATAATTCTTAGCATGCTGACCAGAGTTTCACACCATATTGTTCCTTCATTCCAACTCTTTCCAGTGACATTGGTCTTGCTGGGGGAAAAAAAAGATGTTGATTTTGTTGTCACGTCCCTACTTAATGGTTTCGTTTTAGCATGTTTCATAAAGGTTTGAACAGCTCATGGAGGGCCTTGTTTGGATTGTCAAAACAACGTTGGCCTTCAAAACCGTGCCCAGTATTCACCAGCAGCAGCTGACAAAGCAAGTTTCCAGTCTAGAAATGAGTTTGCTTGGTGCGGTAAAATATCATGGACGTGGCATTGTTTGTCGTGTACCTGCATCGGGTTCTGGAAGCGCTATTTTCATAGTGGGCATACGTCTGTCCCTCTGGGATTCCTTCTGGCCAGGTTTCTTCTGCTTGGCCTTTTTTTCGTCCTCCTCCTTCTTCTTCTTCCACGTTCTCTCCTTCTCCCTCTCCACCTCGCTTAGTAAGTCCAACGGGTCCCTGTCGTCGTCGGGAACATTCCCGAACCTGTTGGCCACAACGCAGCCATAGGCGTCCGGCAGCATCTTACTATGGAGGGGAATAGAGGGAGGAAAAAAAAATAAAAATTAAAAAAAGCAGTCATAATTCATGTCGTAAAACCCTTGCTATTGTTTATATTTAAAAACAAACAACTTCACAAACCCCGTTTTCCTCTTTCACTGGTTACAACAGGACACCAGCCGGCGTTCAAGTCTCCATTGAGCATCGAATAATCGCGCGACAAGGTCCGTCCACTTTTATAAATGTTTTGCACGTGCGTTTGAAAACACAGCCACGCCCCCTCATGAACACGCGTCAGGTTGGTACGCGATGACGTCACATGTCAAAGGCGGTTCTGATGCTGCATTCGAGGAATGTGCGAAGTGGGAAAAATGTCGAGGGTTTGACTTCACACAAATGATGTTGTGACTCAAAAATATGTTTTGTGTTTGTTAATCAAAGAAAACAAACAAAAGAATGAAGCTCAATTACTACTTCTTTCTGCCCTAAAGTGTACTCTTTTGTATTATGTTATGTTATCCATTTATTTATCCAGGTAAAGCAAGTGAGGAGATTCTATTTTGCATTGCATTATCTTTCAAGAACAAACCTTTTGAGCCCAATCAAAGAACATACAGATTCAATCTGTGTTTTCCATTAGCATTTTGTTTTCTTTGTTTTTGTTTTTGTTTTTTGCTTTGTTTTACTAAGATGTCTGCAGCCCGGGCCGCATTACAAAAGAGAATCTGTTCTCAATTGGCTTGGATAGAAAAATAAAATTTGAAAAAACACTCACACACACACACACACACACACACACACACACACACACACACACACACACACACACACACACACACACACACACACATGCTGCATGTTTGTGTTGCACACAACACAGAGAATCTGAATTCAAAAAGAAACCGTATTCACATTTCTCGTTGCCTGTCTCACAATGCTTCCTTTACGTATTCGGAGTGTTTCCCGTTTAAAACTATTATGCAACACTGTCAGAGCCAACATTTTGTGTGTATGCCTTTAAATTGACGCCGAAACGTAATACAGTAACGTCAAGAGAGTCCTGTGCGCGGGAAAATGGCAACATCTGCTCATCTGCGCTGTAAAATTAACCGCCTTCCACTCTCATTGGATACAAGCAGGGCGCGCGTGCGGCGGCTTCCGCTTCCTTGGCCAATCCAGATGGCCAAGCGACACGGTGCGCGCCCGCTTTTCAAACCTGATTGGACAAAATGGTATCGACCAATCACAATCGCTGAACGCCAAGACTTCCTGGCTACTAGCCTGCCATTCGCTAAGTGGGCGTCCTTAGCTCGTCCTATTGGCCATGTTAGTCACATCGTTGGGATTCGCTGGAGCTGATTGGTCGGTTTACTGCTCGGGCGCGTTTTGCAACACAGTGTAATCACTTGTGTGGGCGCCTTCTGTTCAGACTGGACTTGCAGTACCAGCACCGACGTATGTCGTTTTTGGTTAACTTTTGTGGATATCCAGTAGCTACGGACGGAGTTATTTTTTTCTGCCTATTGGAAATGAAGGACGAATTTAGCCCGGATTAACACGGTGCGCCGTTTTTTGGTAGAAATTCAATTGAGGGTGGGGAAAACAGGAAAGCCGTCCGTATTTTCAGCCATTTCGGGTAGTTTTGACAATGAGCGACAACAAACATCCTCACGTTATCTTCTGCAACGACTCGCCGAAGAGAGTCCTGGTGTCGGTCATCAAGACCACCCCGATCAAGCCCCAGAAGGTGGAGGCCATGACGCCTGCGAGCCCGGGATTCAGCGACTTCATGGTTTACCCGTGGAAATGGGGGGAGAACGCCCACAATGTTACACTGAGCCCAGGCTCGCTGAGCGGTGCTTCGTCTCCGGGCGGGATGGCCGGAGACGCTGACGCGGCTACTTCTCCCGACCAGAACAAGGTTCGACATTCAGTAGTTTTCAAATAGTCGCTGATGACACCGCTGCTGTACCCGTAAAGTAGTAATGGCACATTCTTAGACTAGAATATTATTTAGTATTACAAACAATGGGGTCGTAAAAGATAGAAACGCCCGCGCATTTGGGTGTGTCTTGGTGGATTTAAACCCCTTCCTGGTTTGTGAAGCAGCTGCTCTCATTCATGACGGCTGGCGCCAAAAAATATAACCGGAAGTGAGTTGTTGCAACTCTCGCGAGATCGTTACACGCGATCTTAAAACAAAATGCCAACTCCTCGGAAATTTGGTGAACTCTTTGTTTACTTTCATGTTTTCCGTGTTCTTTAATGTTTCCATCATCTTGTTCTGACGTGTTGTGCCAAATTGACTTTGTTTCTTGGCCAGATCATTCTTGAACAAAGCCGTTTTTATATTCTAGTCAAATTTTGATTGATGTTTTGATTGAATGATTTTGACTGCTGTTTATAATTGCGTAGCTACAATACTAAACGTTGTTTATTTTATATCTCTGACCTTGCCAACAGAAAATTACTATTCTCATTATTTCATTTTTAACTGAGCTCTTGGATCCATGAATCTACGAATGTCAGGTTTGATTTTGACGTGTACTCGTTGTGGTCAGGATGGCATCCGCAGAGGGCGCCCTCGAGCCGACACCGTCAGGGAGCTGATTAGCGAAGGGGAGACGTCCTCCAGTCGAATCCGCTGCAACATCTGTAACCGGGTGTTTCCCAGAGAAAAATCTCTCCAGGCCCATAAGAGAACACACACGGGTGAGTTGTGACAGTCATAATGCATGTGTAATACACATTTTGAAGGCAGAAGGCATTTGTTCCACATATGTGAGCGTTTTACAAATATGTCACTCAAATTGACGACACTGATGGCCCGATGCTTTCTCCCTCCAGGTGAGCGACCTTATTTGTGTGACTACCCTAACTGCAGCAAGGCGTTCGTCCAGAGTGGTCAGCTGAAGACGCACCAGCGTCTGCACACTGGAGAAAAACCCTTCGTCTGCTCAGAGAAAGGTGCCATTTTTTTTGTTAAAAGCATTGTTATGAATCCATCTGAGTCTGTTAATGATGACTGTAGCCATTGTGCAGAGTGTTCCGGTTCTTTGTGTCTCACAAGAGGAATCTTAAATGTCCTGATGTGTTTATTGAATATATCGTTTTGTCGTCAGAGTGTGGCAACCGTTTCACGCACGCCAACCGTCACTGCCCCAAGCATCCATTCTCTCGCCTGAGGAGGGAGGAGCCAAAAGAGGGCACGGGCAAGGCGCAGTCTGTGGACAACAAGGCGGTGGCAGAGTGGCTGGCAAAGTAAGACAACTTCCACTTGACAAATGATGCCTTTTGAGATTGTTTTGTGCTTGACACGTTCAGGGGTTCAAATGCTGATGGTTCCTCGCAGGTACTGGCAGACCCGAGAGCAGCGCACCCCCACCACCTCCAGCAGCAAGGCGAAGGCGCAGGGCAAAGCCCGAACGCAGGACCAGGAGCAGCGGGACCCAATGGAGTTCCTCCAGTCTGACGAGGAGAACGACGAAGATGAAGAGATGGCGGAGGAGGAGGAGAAGGGCAGCCAGGGGGGAGCTGCCAAGCGTCGCCTCCAGGAGCAGCGAGAGCGTCTCCATGGTGCTTTGGCGCTCATGGAGCTAGCCAACAATCTGTCCGCCTGAGCGCCTCCCTCCTCGCCGTACTACTTCTGTCCAGCCCCAGTCGGCCTTCCTTCGGTTGTGGTGTGCTGTAGCTAGACCACCTTCAAGTACAGATCTACTAGTTTCTTCTTGACTTCCAAGAATTGACCTGAGATTAGTGCTCACAACTTCCCGCACACCATCAGGCCCCTCTCCTCCCCAGGAAGGCACAAGCTAAAGCACCTTATTCAGCTTCCATTTATCCTTTTAGGCTGCTATAGTAGATGTAACAATATGAAGAATGTCGCTCTTCTTTTCTGCCTTTTAAAGGTGATCAAAGAGTACTTGTTGTGTTTTTAAGTTGTTTTCTGTTGCACTTTGACGGTAATACGTTTTTAAAGGTATGTTTTTAAGCGAGTGATTGTAAATATGGTTGAAAGTTTTGCGAACAGGGTGTACGCCTCACAAGTCGGACAGTCGCGGCCACTTGCGGTTTCAGACGATGAGCGTGGTTGTTTTTTGGGGGTGGGGGGGTTCCTTCTCGTGAGAACGTCAGGTGATCATTGCAAGCCTAATCCACTTTTCGCAGCATCGTCATCTCACCGCATTAGGTCTGCGTCACATTGCGTGCACTTAAAACGGTTTTCCACCAAGCAGTGTAGTACCATGGAGTTTTTGTTTTCTTTTCTTCTCCCGGGTCTTAGCCTTATTTAGTTCTTAGGTACTTTAAAACTAATCTGGGTTGTCTTTCCATTACAGGTGGCAGAATGCAACCCAGCTGTAATTTTTTTAGGCGACACTGTTTGTTTCCTTCACATTCAGTTGACTCATAATAACTAATGATTCTGCTGACCAATCGGGACGGCAGTGTCTGGTACCATTTTGCACCACTGCTTGCTAGAAATGAGGTGTCACATTTTGGTACCAAATGCAGTGGTGCAGTACCAAAAGGGGAGCGCTTGAACGTGTCTGTTGATCAGGGTTAACTTTTCCAAATTATGCTGCTTGGTGGAAACCGAGGTCAGGATATTATGGTTTACCTTTGTTGTCTTTTATATTAAAAGGTAGTAAATTAGTTCTAAACTCATTGAGTCTTCTATCCGATTGATTCAGCTCTGAAATCCAGATGACACCTTTTGGGGATGTTTTGGTCAGTATTTAAAAAAAGGAAAGCACTTGCGTTTTAAAATAAATGTTGGATTACGCTTGCAATGTCTGTGATAACTTTGGGGGAAATGGCTTCTGTTTGTCACAAATAGATTTGATTTTTTGTGTGTGTGTGCTTGATGGTTTTTATGTTTGTCTTTTCAGCAACACTACATAAAAACACCGTATCAAGCTGCGTAACAGCCCTACTTGAGTGGTCTTTTTTTGTTTTTGCAAGGGAACTTGCAGCCAAAATTCTTAGAATTGGATTTGGAAATGTCCTGCGAGGCGAAACTGGAAGTTAGTCGTCGATACTCAAGTCACCAAATGTTTATTGTATCCGATGATAATCTAATCTGAAGCATTTCTAACCCGTAGTCGTTTTGTGTATGTGTGGTTTGACGAAATGATGGCATTTTAATATATACAGATTGTTAGAAGATTGATTATGCGCGATTTACAAACAGATTGGACGTGGAATTCTAGCATCACTTCTCTCCTATGTTAACATACTCCTGACCTGTATAGAGTGACTATTT